CATATGAAAGCAAGTGTTCTCATTTTTTCATGTCAACAGTGATAGAAATTAGACAAATGATTATATCCTAGCTTAACGGACACATTCCTTTGATTTTATTATGTCATGTTTTATTTGTTTATTTTAAAAGATTTTTTTTAAATGGATTTTTGAGAGAGAGAGAAAGAGGAAGAGAGACATCGATGTGAGAACAGAACATCAATTGCCTCTTGCACACCTCATTCTGGAGATCGAACCCATAACCTGGGCATGTACCCTGTCCAGGAATCAAACCAGCAACCTTTCAGTATACAGGATGGTGGCCAACTAACTGAGCAACACTAGTCAGGGCATTTATGCCATGTTTTAGAATTAGATCAAAGAAAAGTTATCTTTAGTGTTTTATCCCTGGTTTAAAGACTTGGATTTCTAAAACCCACCAGTATTGTACCCAAAAGGAATTAATGAAGCACTATAGAAGTATATAGAATTAATTATACAATTTTTATTATTAGATATGATGCTTTCTGAATAAAGTGTCTTTATGGTTTTTTAAATAACAGTTCCACAGAACATATTTTAAATTGCCTGTTAGTTCTATCTAGAAGTTACCATTTTTGTTGACGAATTCTTATCAATAATTTTTCTGTGCATATATAAAGATAGATGGATATACAGACATAAAATGAAGAAGTACTGAGGAGATACTGATGTTTGATATATGCAAGTGTTTGATATACTCTTAAACATTAAGTGTGTATTTTGTAAGACAGGAGCTATTCTGCGTGTGTGTATTTCCTAAGAAAGGGTATTCTCTTTGTTACCATTATACAGTTTCAAGTGGGGATTTTTCTAAAGAAGAGCTCTCCCTTCTCCTTCCAATCTTCTTCACTTTCAAATTATTACTCTGAGCTCATGGATTCTTTTTATTCAGTTTAATCTTTTGATGCTCACTCAGAGTATCCCAAAATTTACCAGTGGAGCCTCTCAAGGTGGCTCCTGTATCCTATTGAAATGTCCCCATCAGTTTTTGAATACTTGCTTGCTTTTTTGACACAAAAGATGTCCAGGCCCATTTTATACTTTTTCTGCCCTAGACCTGGAATGAGCTATTTCTCTTAAGCCTTAGTTCCTTTGAGTGGGGAATGGTCTTTAGAAACCAAGATCTGAGCCCTAGGTGTGCTCATTGGAATCGGGTATTGTTGCTTCAGAGCCTTTAATGAAAAGAGCTCAGAATTTATTTTTAAAAATAAATTATGAGTTCATGCTAATACTTGCAGTTCAAATATAACACCACAGGATTCTTCTGTTCCTTCTCCTGTTTCATATTTTGGTATTTAGATACTGCCCGATCTCCTTTGTAGGGCTTGTACTATTTTGCAGTCCAGTTCAATAGTGTAGGAAAGTGCATATCCCCATACCCTTACCAACAAATAGAGTTAACAGGCCTTAGACATTTTGCCAATCTAAAATGTAAGCAGTTGCATCTCTGAGTAGTTTTGATTTTTCTTATTATGAGTGAACCTAAACATTAAAAAAAAAAATTTAAGGGCTAATTGGGTATCTTTGTGTACATACTATCTTTTCAAGTCTTCAGCCCCACCACCCCATTTTTGGTCTTCTCTTCCTTGATTTTCAAAGTTCTTTACGTATTTAGGAATTTATCAGTCTGATATATAAAGAACTCTTAGATTTTTAAAAAAGAAGATTCTTTTAAAAATTATGGTGTTTGCTGCAAATATTTTCTTCTAATTCATCATTTGTCTTGGCTTATAGTGTATGTGTGCTTATTAATTTTTTAAAAATGTGTGATGTTCACACAAAAGGTTTTCATCTATTCATTTTTTATTGCATCTGGGTTTTTGCCCTAGTTAGCCTTTTCCACACCCAGTTTTAAATGTATTCACACATGCTTTCTTCTAGTACTTGTGGTTTCCATTTTTACAATTAGAGCTCTTCTCCATTTGGAGTGTTTCTGGTTTAAGGTATGAGGTGTGGATCCAATTTAATCTTTTTCCAGATAGCCATCCAGTTGATTGGACGGCCATGTGGACTTTCTATTTTGTTTCCAGACTTTCTGTTCTGTTCAACTGGTCAAGGTATCTAGGAAGGATATTTTGTATAAAAGCACACTGAATACTTCATATGTCAGCGGTTGCTTGGCTGGCTCAAGGGGGCTCTCTGAACACTCCTTTTTGATACGTAGGATTATGTGTAGGCTTGCTGCAGAGTTAGTGGTCTGATCAGAAGGATTTCGCTTCCTGACTTGTCAACAAATCCCAACACTCCCATTGTTACAAGTTTTATTCTGTTGGAGCTTCTTCAGAACTATATTATAGACACATAAAATTAACTTAAAAATTAGACAGTAAGCCCTGGCGGTTTTTCTCAGTGGTTAGAACATCAGCCTGTGGACCAGAGAGACCTGGGTTCAGTTCCCGCTAAGGGCACGTACCTCGGTTGTGGTTTGTCCCCAGCCCTGGTTGGTCATGTGGGTGGCAGCCAGTCGATGTGTCTCTTTCATGTCGATGTTTCTCTCTCTCTTCCTCTCTCTCCCTCCCACTCTATCTGAACAAAAAAATGGAAAAATGTCCTCGGGTGAGGATAAAAAAAAAAATTAGACAGTAAGCCTGAAAAGCGTTTAACATCATACCTAGAACAAACAAGAAAACACATATTCAGCACATACTCATTGACTGGTCTTAGCAAATGTTGTGGTTAATTCCTAATAAGTGAAGAGGCAAACAAACAGTGAAGTAAGCTATTGGTAACATCTGGAAGTGGGCGAATCTGGGGTTGGCAGTGGAGATAGTGAGTCAGTGACAAGTGTCTCAGAGGCAGTAAGGGTGCTGGCTTGAAACTGGACTAGGCAAGGTCAGGAGATAAGATTGCAAGGAACAAGGGTGCCAGGCGGGAAACACTTGCTGTTCTTTCCCCCTCCTTCTCCTCCTTCAGCTTCTCTTCATCCTCCATCCCCTCCCCCCTTCCTTCTCTCCCTCCTGCATCTTCTTCATGAATTTATTGGCATGCTATTTGGATATCACAGAACGATGCTCAGAAATAGGATGAAACCAAGGCATCTTTTTTAAAATTATTTTTCAGTTACAGTTTACATTCAGAATTATTTTATATTAGTTTCAGGTGGTGTACACATAGTTGTTAGACATTTATATAACTTCAGAAATGCTTCCCCCAATATTACTAGTACCCACTGGCACCATACATAGCCCATCCACTTCTTAAGGCTCTGAACCTTCGTGTTTTTCCCTGGTTCCTGGGGAAAGGGCTATATAGACCCACATGTTCACGGAAAGCACTAAATAAAGACTGTCATTCCCAGTATTGCACTGCTAAGCATAGGCACAGAGCCACTTCAACATGTGAAATAGGTACACTAAGCTAGCTAGGTTTTTAAGTCATGCCAGTAAAATAATTCTTTTTGCTATTGTTACTAGTTGTAACTAGTAACTGCTATCCTCTGCTCTGATATGCTAACTGCGGTTACATAACTGCCCTGCTCTGTAACTGCGGATGGTTTGAGGTCCAACCTGAGAATGTCTTTCCTGACCACCCCAGCTTGCAAGATTTCTCCATCTTCTGGGCAGTTGTAACTCTTATAATCAGTATTTAATACGTATCTTGTACTATCCTCTTTTAAAAAATATTTAAAAGAACTATGTATGGTGTCAAATGGGTACTAGATTTATCGGGGTGACCACTTCATAAGTTATATAAATCACTGGGTTGTACACTCAAAACTAATATAATATTGCACGTAACCTATAATTGAAAAGTAAAAATTATTTTTATTATTTATTAATTTGTTTTTGTTACAGATGTTTCTCCTTTTTCCCCCATTGACACCCTCCTCCCCATCCCCCCCACCCCATCCCCAGCTTTATTGTCTATGTCCATTGGTTATGCATACATGCATCTAAGTTCTGTGGTTTACCTCTCCCCCGCAACACCCTCTCCTCTGAGGCTTGTCAGTCTGTACCCCACCTCTATGTCTCTGGGTCCATTTTGTTCATCAGTTTGTTTGGTTCATTATATTCCACAAATAAGTGAGATCATGTGATATTTGTCTTTCTCTGCTTGGCTTGTTTCGCTTAGCATAATACTCTCCAGGTCCTTCCGTACCATCTCAAAGGATAAGAGATCTTTCTTTCTTACAGCTGCATAGTGTTCCATTGTGTACATGTACCACAGCTTTTTTATCCACTTATCTACCCATGGACACTTGGAAAAGTAAAAATTATTTAAAATAAAAAAGGAAACTGTTTTAAAAAAGTAAATACAATCACACTAACAGAGATAAGTCCTGTTAACATTTTGGTATATTTTATTTCAGTCTTTTTATTTTCTCTCCTGTGTGTGTGCTTTTATAGATTTTATATCAAACTGTATATATTGTATCCTATTTTTCCCTTAACTTTATCATAAACCATTTGTAAATAGTATTTTAAAAGCTATGTTATATGTTATGTTATATGGAGTAGATTGTGATTTGCTTATATTTTCTTTTTCAGGCTTATTTTTCTCATTAGTCCAATTGAGATTATCAAGGGAACTCACTCTGCTGAATCAGTCCCCTTTTCCTGCTGCAGTGCCTGTAGACAACATTGTCTATGTAGATGATTAATAGATATTTTTGCTTGCTCCTCTTTTTTCAGTCTAATATTACAGGAACTATTTGCTATAGGAGACCCAAAAATATTTTTTGCACGTTACTCAGAGTCATTGTGTTTCCCAAGTATTTCCACTTAGAAAAAGGGACCCTGAGGAAACCTTTGCATGTATTTGGGGGAGGGGGCTGTAATCCTCTGGAATTGTATGAGAAATATTTTCAGTGAACATTTGTGTATTTTCTTATAGTTTTCATTAGATTTTTGAAGTCCTTATCTAACAAAGAGGTATGGATTCAGAGGCTGGAGCCCATCTGGATGGTGATAGATCTATTTATTAAACTTATCTGAAATCTGAGGTATTATATTTTACCTTTTCTTCTTCTTGGTTTTCAGGAAGGGATGAGACCATGCAACCTACAAAACCATCTTTCCTTGAATACTTTGAACAAAAAGAAAAGGAAAATCAGATCAACAGCCTGGGCAAGAGTGTACCTGGCCCACTGAAGAACTCTTCGGATTGGAGAGTACCACAGGATGGAGACTATGAGTTTGTAAGTAGTGTCGGAAGTACATGGTTATGTGTGCTGGGGACAGCGATTTGAAATACACACAGCCAGTTTTGTCATCTCACTGAAAGTGCCCGAGCACTTTCCGGCGGGGTTCAGGTCTCCTGCGACCACCCCTGGAAGCAGCCTCTGGGCTGAGGGCCTTGGGTTGACAACAACCTCATTTTGACTGACATTTGAGCAGTTCTGGCTCTCCTAGTTAGTAGCATCTTTTTTGCTTTAAAAAATCCTTTATTTACTTGCCATTTTTCTTCTGTTGAGTATGAACTTGGTAAAAGAAACATTCAGTCATCAAATGAAAATGCTCTGTCTTTAGTAGTTTGTTTGAGATTGTGAGGTTTTATTTAAGAATTGGACTGGAGGGCAGTTAATGCTGTTTTGTAGTATCTTTGTTGTTTTGCTAACCATTATCCTAATTTTAGGCTCTCTGCGAGGATTCTTCTGAATTTAGCCCACGGATGAATATTAAGTTGTTCCAAAGTTTCTTATGAAAAACTGGGTGTGTTTTTTCCTTTTTCTGCTGTGGAACATTCTCCCTCAGCCACAGACACTTGTTAATGTTCCCAGAGATTTAATGAGTAGAGGCAATAAAAATTTGGGGGGTGGGGAAAGCAAGCTAAGGAGTGTACATTCCTTTTCTGAATATTTTAGAAAAGTATTTTTTCTTTAGGAATATTTAATTTTTACATTTTTCTTTTTTAAAAAATTTTACATTGTTAAATTCTGTCATAATTCTGTTGTTGATTATAGGAGCTTAGCTTAGGCGTTATATTTGGATTCTGAGAGGCCCTTCTAGTTCTGGCTTTCCACTGCCCTACTGACTGGCTTAGAGGAAATGATGCCTTTTCTTCCATAACATAATCTCTACTTTTGTAGAGTGGCAAGAATGTCATACAGCTAATGAAGGAGATCTTTTGAGGACCAGAAAGCTCACCTGAGGTTATTTAACTAATAAGTCACTGAACCCCTGTTAGAACTCAAGTTCATTTGTTTTATCATCTATTTGTTCTTTATTCATGTGTTTATTCATCATCTGCTATGCATCTGTCATTACTATCTATTTGTCCACTCATTTATTTATTAGTGTGTTTGAGTACCAGTGTGTGCTTTACCTTTTTCTAGAAATATGGTAGTGAATAGAACAGCCCAAAATCCATTTCCCATGGGGGTTTCATTCTAGAAGATGTAAAATATTTAGTGTGTCAGGTAGTGGTAAGTGTTGTAGAAAATACAAAGCAGGAAAGGGAGATTGGTGGGGTAGGGGGGTGGAGAGAGAGAGAGGTTAGGGGAGGGAGAGGGTGGGGCAGGGAGAAAGAGAGAGAAAAAAATAACCATTTAAAATAAAGAGTTAAGAAAGTTCTCAGGCCACACCCCCAACACAATGCATTGGAATCTCTGGAGACAGGTAGCACTCATTAATCTGTTTCAACCTACTTATGCATGATTCTAACCCACTGAAGTCATATGGGTTTCTTCTTTCTTTCCAATTAGATGCTCTTGAAAATCAGAGATAAGGATGTATTTATATTTTATTAGTATTGCATGATATGTATGTATGTATGTATGTATGTATGTATGTTTTAATCCTCACCTGAGGATATTTTTTACATTTATCTTCAGACAGAGTGGGAGGGAATGAGGGAGGGAGGGAGGGAGAGAGGAGAGAGAGAGAGAGAGAGAGAGCGAGAGAGAGAGAGAAACATCGATGTGAAAGAGTGTGCAACCGAGGTACATCCCTTGGCTGGAATCGAACCCGCGAGTCTTTGGTTTGCAGGCCTACGCACTAACTGCTGAGCCAAACTGGCCAGGGCAGTATTGGATGATTTTTAAATTTGCTTTTCACTCCCCTTTTGAGTCTCCAGGACTCTTATTGAAGGTATCAAATAAGGGAAACACACATTTGTAAGTGACATCTGGCAAAGAAAGAGCCAGCTCGCTGAGTGAGGAAAGAATTCTGGATAATCTCACTAAGTTTAGAGAAGGGCGTGGGTCAGACTAGCTGACATGTTTCCCTCAGCAGTCTCTACAGAGACTTTGATTTCCTGGCAGGCAGTATTTAATTATGGAAACGATATTCTCTTTCTCCTGTGAAGGCAGTTGCTATTTTGAAATCAACTTTTTGCCCAAAATGGCAAATAGGGAGTAATTTAATCAGGAATGGCAGGATGTAATGCTGACAGAAATCTTTATATTTTCATGTGAAGCTCAACACTCGTTGCATTTCTAAAATTGTTGCATTTCATCTGCCAAGTTGAAAATGCAACATAGATTTCCTTTCGTGTTTAATATATATAGTGATTAAATATAAATAAAAGGTGCTTGAGAATACAGTAGTATCTTCTAAAATTGGTGTTTCATATTCTCTGAACAGATTGCATTTTGGAAATGAATGCTACTTTTGTGAGAATTCAGACCCTCCCATTTTGCCGTTCGTAAAGCCACAAAAAGCTGTAAACTTGAAACCAGTTTGACTCATGTGTCCTCCAGAACACACTGAGGTTTTAGTCTGAGATGGCCGGTGCGCCAGGGTGGTGAACAAGACGGGCAGCCTCGTGCTGTCCTGGAGCTGAAGTGTGGTGAGGGAAACAGGCATCGAGGAGGTCACATATCAGTTCAGGTACTAATAATTTTTAGAAAAAGGAGCAATAAAGAGATAATGTGAGAGGAGGCCTTGCAGGGATAAGACATTCAGCTAAGGCCTGAACAAAGGCGGAAGCAAGCCGTGGGAGGAAGGTGGAAGGACCAACAAGTGCGCAGGCTCTGAAGCAGGACTTTGCGGGTATGTGTAAGGAAGGAACGAAGGCTACTGTGGCTGGAGCATGACACAGGACAGCAGTTCAGATGTAAACACATCAATAATCACAATACATGTGAGTGCAATAAAATCTCCTGTTAAAAGACAGAGACTCGCCTTGGCTGGTTTGGCTCAGCGGTTAGAGCGTCGGCCTGCAGTCCGGAAAGACCCGGGTTCGGTTCCCGCTAAGGGCATGTTCTTTGGTTGCAGTTTGTCCTCGGCCCTGGTTGGGTTGTGTGGGTGGCAGCCACTCGATGTTTCCCTTTCACGTCGATGTTTCTCTCTCTCTCCCTCCTGCTCTATCTGAACAAAAAATGGAAAAATGTCCTCGAGTGAGGATTAAACAAAACAAAAAAAAAACAACAAAAAAAAGACAGAGACTCTAGATTAAAAAAAAAAAAAAAAAGCAGTCAAAATACTGTTTATAAAAGAAATAAAATATCACTGAAATGTTTACAGCAGAGGAATGAAAGAGATACACTAGGCAAATACTTAAAAAAAGTAGGTAAGAATGTTAATGTCAGATAAAGTAGAATCCAAGAAAAACACGTATTGCGTGGGAAAGAGATATATGTTGCTAAAAGATGTATTTGATCCAGAAGATGTAAGTCATGAACCAATATAAAGTATACATATTTATCCCAAAACTGATAGAAATACAAAGAAATAGCAATGAAAACTATGATAGTTGAAGACTTAAATACTCTTCTTAAAAAGTGAACTTCCAGACCTGCCCGGGTTGGCTCAGCGGTTAGAACATCGGCCTGTGGACCAGAGAGTCCCGGGTTCGGTTCCCACTAAGGGCACGTACCTCCGTTGCAGTTTGTCTCTGCTCCTGGTTGGGGTTGTGTGGGTGGCAACCACTCAGTGTGTCTCTCTCACATCATCGATGTTTCTCTCTCTCTTCCTCCCTCTCTCCCTTCTGCTCTATCTGAAGATAAATGCAGGAATGTCCTTGGGGGAGGATTAAAAAAAAAAAAGTGAACTTCTAGTTAGACAAAAGAGTTGATAGTAGCTGGCCCCCACATAATAATTCAGTCTATTCATTGAAGTCCTCTGTGTGTGCTTTGTGTGAATAGGCAAGAAGACTTCAAGGTCCTTGACAGCTGGGACTTCACTATACTCGTCTTTGTATTCCTAACATCTAGCTGTTGTCTGGCTTAAAGTCAGTTCACTATTTTCAGTTAAATTCTAACATAGTCTCTAAATTAATTCAATAAATGCAGTCACTACCTTGAGAGAGTTCACAGAATAGCAGAAAAGATAATTAAATAAGTTTGATGCATCGTGCTAATAATAGCTTACATTTATTGAGAATTTACTGTGTGCCACGCATTAGTCTAAGTCCTTTATGTATATTATCTCAATCCTCAGTCATCCCACGAGGTGGGTAATATTATTATTGCCATTTTATGGACGTGAAAACTGAGGGTTAGAGGGAGTAAGTAATTGATTAAGGTTATACAGATAGTAAGTGGCACAGCAGGGATTTGAACCAAAGCAGTTGGCTCCAGGGCCCAGCCTCTTAACCACCTACACTGTATGGCCTCTTTCTGGGCTATTCTGGTAAATTCTCTTCATAAAGTGCATATAAAAAGTGCTGTAGGAGCCCAGAAGAGGGCACAAGAACCCAAGGGAAGGCATCAAGAAGTCTTATTTAGAGGGTATTTTGAAAGATGACTAGGAATTCTCAAGCTGGAGAAGCGGGGAAAGGGCCTTGTGGGCTGAGAGGGAAGTGTGTCTGGAGGCGTTGAGGAATGTGGAATGCCAGGAATTACTGAGAGCCTCTACTTGGAGTGTACGGTGTGCTTGGGTGTGTGAGGAAGGGGGCCAGAGGGACTGCGGGAGAGCCCTTCAGGTGAAGTGAGTGCCCAGTGTGCCCTTACCTTTACTGCAGACATGCAAACTCTTTTCAGATTTTTTCCTTGGCAAATCAGAGAAATTAAAAATAGAATTCTAATGCAGCACAAAGAGCTAATAACCTAATATCTCTCTGAAGTTATGTGACAGATAATGGGTCCATCAGGATATAAAACCGTTAAACTATTAAAATTAATTTGATAAAAGTAACAGAACCTGAACAAGATTGATTGCTTGGATTTTCTGAGTAGTTATAAAGTTGTAAGCCATTCAGAGGCCTCGAGTTTTCCCCAGGAGGCTGATAGTCCCTGGTTTTATGTATCTTGATCTT